GAGAGAGAACAGATGTTTGCCATAAACAACGAAGAGGACCGAGGACACGTCTGACCTTTGAAGAAGAGGTGGGAGTCCCTGGTGCTGGTGAAGATGTGCGTGTAGGCGTCGATGTCGTCTGGGAGGCCGCGCCATTCCGTGTCGATGTACAGGGGGTCCCCGAAGCGCGTTCTGTTGTACCTGTGGCGAGGGAGAGAGAAAGGGGAGGGGAGGTCAGTGATGGGAGGGAGGGAGGGAGGGAGGGAGAGGGAGGTGAGGGTGGGTGGTGAGGGGGAAGGAGGTGGTGAGGGCGAGGTAGTTGGTGGTGAGGAAGGTGTGGGTGAGGGAGAGATGGGGGTGAGGGAGTTGGAGGTGGGGTTGAGGGTGAGGAAGAGCGAGGGTGAGGGAGATGGAGGAAGGAAGTGAAGGAGGAAGGTGAAAGATATGATAGTATCGGAGGGGAAAGGAAAGTTGGATTAAGGGAAGTGAGGTCGTAAGACAGTCGCTTATATACATCTTAAAAAAGGACTCGACCAGAATAACGTGTAGACACCATAAAGCGACGAAAAAAACAACAATGAATCTCCAAAGACCTCTAAGAATCGCATATAAATAAGGGGCCTAAATACTCACTTGTTTTCGTACATCCAGAAGTGGTCCCCGCGGAAGAAGTAGGTGTTGTAGGAGAGGGAGCCGTCGGAACGCCACCGCAGGAAATCGAAGACGGTGCTGAACTTGCCCACGCAGCGGCCGTAGATCCTCTGGACGAGCTTCCTGTCCTCCCAGCCCAGCTCGAGGCCCTGGTTGGGCAGCACCTTCTCGTACACGGCGTACATGATGGAGTAGTTCCTGAGCACGTGATCCAGGCCGAGCACGTGCCCTATTTCGTGCACCGCAACCTACGGCGGGGAGAATAAACAGCGAAGGGTGAAACAATAAACGAAGCGTATTCAAACTGCACTCGAGTTCCCGTCATAAAATATATTGGAAACAGCTTATCAACAAACCAGCAAGAGAACCGACACACAGAGCTCATCTCTGCGGTAATGCCGGCTCGACGCAGAGGCCAACACTCTCAAGAAGAACAATAATAAACAAAGAGGTCAGGTGCATCAACCGTCGCTAAATATATACCGATCGTCACTTTTTTTCTCTCTCTCTCTTCTTTCTTCGCGATCACCGAGCAAGACGCAAGGACAATAACCACAAGGAACAAGAAAGCAGATAAGAAGAAAACGGAAATAAAAGACAGGAAAAACATTAGAGATAAAGAGAAAGACAAACATTATCCTCACCTTCAGGAGGTTCGTGCCGTGGTCAGAGTCGAGGGTAAAGTGCTCATCGTCGTCCATGTGGATTTGGGCGTCACGGGCGTCTCTCAGGGCGTGGCTCAGCTCTCCGCCCAGCCCGTCGAACTCGGTCACGCAGCCGAGGTGACTTCCTGGAAATGTCGAAGGAATTTTACTTACGCAGGTGATTGAGGGGAAGCGGTTGGGCGCGCGGGAAAAGTGTAACGGAGAACAGAGTTTAAATGAACATCGGAAAATAAATAATAAGGTGTATAGAGATAGATAGATATAATATATATATATATATATATATATATATATATATATATATATATATATATATATATATACATATATATATATATATATTTTTTATTATTATTATTATTATTATTTCTTTTTTTTTATGAAACGGAATGATCATTGCCGTGGCATCCTGAACAATCATATTTGGGATGTGGTCATAAGCTATGAAGTAAGCAAAGTGAAGGCCCCCAAGTTTTTTTCTTTGATCACAGATCCATCTAACTAGGAAATGACTAAACTTACGCCAGACACATTCTGTATTTGCCGTGAACTACTAGTTGCACTGATAAACGCCTTCTGCAGAAACCACTGCCCAGCTGTGTGTGTGTGTGTGTGTGTGTGTGTGTGTGTGTGTGTGTGTGTGTGTGTGTGTGTGTGTGTGTGTGTGTGTGTGTGTGTGTGTGAGAGAGAGAGAGAGAGAGAGAGAGAGAGAGAGAGGAGAGAGAGAGAGAGAGACAGAGAGAGAGACAGAGACAGAGAGAGAGAGAGAGTGAGAGAGAGAGAGAGAGAGAGAGAGAGAGAGAGAGAGAGAGAGAGAGAGAGAGAGAGAGAGAGAGAGAGAGAGAGAGGGAGACCGAAAGAGGGATGGCGGCAAATAGACTCCTATGTCTGCAAGAAGTACGCATTGGCTTTCGCGAACGATAATCACATCCAGTATTAGTCCACAAGAAGTTCTCGTATCGTCTACGCATCGCCCACAAGGACACTGGCAACCACTTCAGCTTACATCTTGCCGCCGCTGCCCCGAGACAAGATAATAAAATTCCTATGGCATTGCAGACTCGCGGGGAAAAAAAAAGACAAAAGAGCGCTACGGTGAAACAATCTTGTATGTTAATTTCACCGAAGACTTTGCCATTGATAGGGAAGCCTTTTTGATGTGCCAAGCGTGATATCGACATTAAAATATTTCTCTAAACAATAAA